AACCTGACCACTTCACTAGGTCGCCACACCCCTAAAGTAATTTAGACTTATAAACAGAAGTTTGTCTAATTGGCTAATAAATTTAATTTAATTTTATATTATTTATACAGTTTAAAGTACATTTTACAAAAATGAAAACTAATTATAATAAAATAAAAAAAGCTATATAAATGGTTTTATTAGAGCTATAGGACTATAACCAAAAATAAAATCTAATTCTTATTTGCTTAAAAAAATTAGCTTAGTAATAAATTGATTTTAGTAGGTTTTAGAAATTATTGCTATATTAATTTTTTTAAATAGACAAGAATTGGATTTTATTTATAATTATAGAATCTTACAGCTCTAATAAAAGTTTTTTATACAGTTTTTGTAATTTTATTATTATTAGTTCTTATTTTTTTATAAAGTACTCTAAACTGTATAAATAATGTAAAATTAAATTGAGTTTATTAGCTAATCAGACAAACTTTTGCCTATGAAATTTAGATTAATTATTGCAGATTATTTAATACTGATTATCTGGTAGTTATCTATCTGCAAAAATCTATTTAATATACAATATATATAATTAATTGATTATATTTTATCTACTAAAACAAAAAAAGTAAAATAATAATATATTTTTAATCAGTCAAATTCAATCATCTGATCGATCAAATATAATTTAATATAATTTACTGATAATTAATCTACTTTTAATTAAGTTTACAAAATTATATTCAATTATTGATTCAACTTGATTTATAATTGATCATGATATAGCTAAGTTAATTTACTGATTGTTATATTTAAATTCTAATTAGAAATATTGGATAGCAATTTTCAAGGCAAAAACATCACATAATTTATTATTAAAAATAGCAAATTAGAAAAATACTGTTAAAACAGCTTCTAATAAATATAAAATATAAAATATTAATAAAAATTACTTTATATTACCAGTGGGTTTTCATTACTATATATAGTTTTATATTTTATATTAGTGTATCAAAGAAAGGTCAATTAATCAGTACACAAAATTTATAAATTATGTAACCTGTTTTTTTGCTAGTAATTTTCTTTTAATCAGAGGTTCAGATATAACAATCAATAAAATTAGTACAATTAATATAATTTGACTAAAATAAAATTACTACTTAAAAAAATTTCAAAAATTATGATTAAAATTATGATAATAATATTATTAAATATTAACATAATTGATTTAGTAATAATTTTTTTCTTTAATACTTCAAAGTAAAAAGTGATTGTTAAAAGCATAAAATCCAATAAACACTATTCTAAAAATATATATTGATAGCTGTAATCAAATTTTCACTAATAATAAATGAAAAAGAATAAAAATTAAAATAAAATTATAAAAATTGATTAAGAAAATATAATTGCATCAAAAAATTTTGTAGATTTATTTTTAATACTTTTTTGAAAGATTATAATGCTAATTATTTATTTGAGTAAAAAGTTTTTATAACTTTGAATCCAGAATGCAGCAACAAAAATTGTTGAAAAAAAAACATAATGAATTCAAATAACAAATGGCTTGGTATTAATAAAAATTTTGTGTTATTGCATAAATTAAAGGATTATAATTATTTTAAAAGACAATAGAAAATTCCAAATACTCAGAAAAACCATAATCATAATACTTTTTGGTTGTAATAAATATACATTTATTAAGTTATTCGAAATAAATAAAATAGGCTAGGTGCTATAGAAAAGAAGGAAATCACCAAATGTTTTAAAATTAATTTTTTATATAAATTAATTTAAAATAAAGTCAAGATCATTTTTTACTTAAAACACAAAAGTAGTTTTATTAATAAAATTTTGTAGTATAACTCTTCAAAATTTATAATTTCTTATTATAAAATTTATAATAAAAAATAGATTTTCCGAAGATCTTTTTTTTGTTGATTTCCTCTTTTCTATAGCACCTAGTCCAAATAATTAATTTATTGCTTATCATTAGTCTGGATTTTTGTTTGTATTTTTTTGTTAAGTTACATAAATTTTTTGTGCTCGATATATTAGTCATGTGATGTTCAAAACTTTTTTGTGGCAGGTTGGTCAAATTGGTTGTCCGGCCCAAATTATACACTTAATTTTGCCCGAAGTAGTATTGTTACACCGCATTAACAATTGCGATTTACATATAATCAAACATAAATCGCTGTCACTTAGAGGGTGTCTCGTATTAAACGGACCCATTTTAACATATAAACATTTGAGTAAATCGATCATCTATAGAAACATATTTTTTAGAAAAAGGTGAAACTCGCGTAAAATCCGCTATGTAGATCAGGTTAGGTTGAAATCCGCGGTTGATTATGTTTTTTACTATCGTTATATAAAAGCATATAAGCATTCCGTGTGTGTTGCACGATTATTAGAACCCCATAAGACAATGACATTATATTAGCATAGAAGCTATCTTATGAAATGGATCAAGGCATCATTTCGTGTGAAAGTAAAGTATTCGGAAGAGCTCAACACACTGCCACAAATAGCTCAGATCGTAAGTATTAAATTGTTGGATTTTATTTACAAAATATGATGAGCCACAGAATACAACGCAATTAGGCTTCTGCAAATGCCTGTGGGCACTAAGCCGCGCAAAGTGCCTCGTGGCGTGCCTAGTGCCAGTGCCTAAATATGTGCCTGGTATTTTTTAGGCAGGCACTAGATGCCTGTTCCTCTGCCAGGCAAAATTCAATATTACGGTTACTTCCAGGCAACTTTATTAAGTCAAGTGCATATATATGATGTATTGATTGTGTGCCAGGAATGTTGGCAGTGTGCCAGGGCACTAGTGCCAATGTCATGCCTAGTGCCGATGCCTAAGAAAATGCCCGGGGTATTTGTATAGAACTGGACACTATATGTAATAAACTGATATCGATATAGCTATACACCCGGGTATTATTCAAGAATTAGGCTAATATGTATGGTGAATAATATACTAGTCTCATTAGGAATATTACTTTGTGGGGATATTATAAGTATTTTTGTATTTATCCATGCATACAGTATATCGTAACGTTATTAAGTTGACAATGAATATTGGTTTTATTTTTTTAAAAAATGATAATGAATATTTTATGTTCATTACATTGTTAAATTATTCTACAGTTCTATCCTTCCTTTCTTTTCTTACTCGCTGCCGAGTTAATAATACTTTCGTCAATGAAAATATGTTTTTGATAAAATTTTAATTCATTAATACTCTCTTTGATATCATCCAATGCTCTATGAGTAGCATTCTTGGTTGGTACGGTCTCATAAATACTAGGATACCATCTTCTACATAATTCCTTAATACTGCTGACATCAACGATTCTATAATGTAACCAATCAACCACTTCAGGCATTTCCTTTTTCAAAAACATTTTGTCCGCATAAACACTGTTTCCTGCCAAAGGTGCGCATCCTTTTTTGGGAATATGTTTTTTTAAGAATTCTAAAATTTGAGCGGACGCATCTGATGTGGTAATCGTAGACGATAAGACTGCCGCTGTTAATCCTGACTATTGGATAATAAGAACATTACCATCGAACTTGACTTTATATATTTCATTAAATAAATAGAACTTTAAAATAAAGTTGATATTAACTTCACCGTGATGTTGTTTGCACCAATCATTCATTTTATCCATTGTTTCTTGTGATTGATTAATCACAAGATCCGGTCCCTTTGAATGCAAAAAAATATAATAAATGTGATATAATTATTATGTTACTTGAGATGATCGAAATAAAAATAAAATGATAAGTGCGAACCTCTGCTAAAACATTCAATTTTCCATCAGTTATCAAGACGGCAATTTCAATAATATGTTCATTTTCTACATCAAGCCCAGTCATCTATTGCACAAATTAAATATGGTAATATTAACTGAAAAATCTACATGTAATTTAAAACAAAAGTTGATATCATTCATCAACCTTTTACCATAATCAACCTTTTAAACCTTTTAACAATAATTATTGATAGTAAACATACTTCACAATCTATCCAAACTAAAGGATCATTAGCCATTTGAGCAATACGTTTTGATCGTTTCACCAAATAATCACGATAAGAAAGACGAGACTTGTGACGAATTGTAATTGCAAATTTATTTAATCCTCGATTTAAATAATGTTTCGTTGCTTTGTTGGTTAAATAAAATGTCTTTAAAATGGAAATCACTTTATAATGCGCTGAAAAGAGAAAACGCATTTGTACTGTATATATATATATATGCAGACCAAAAATCCTGACTTATACGTAAATTCAATGAGTCAGACCTAAAATGTGTAACATACCAAAAAAATTTTGCTGGCCAATCATATTTCAAGATCGGGAAAAAAAAACAAAAAAATCGGTAAAACCTGATTGGCTATTATATTAAATTTCACCAGTTTCAGTAATGGAATTGCTGGTGAAACTAGTAAAACTCTTGGTGAAACTGGTGAAATTTAATATAACAGCCAATCAGGATTAGATAGTCACCAGTAGTGTTGGCAGGCGAAACCTAAGAGTTTCGCCACAGACGAAAGGCGAAACTAGTTTCGACTTTGCCAAAAAAAATTTAAAATGTCGAAACTGGCGTAACTGCTAATAGGTGGTAAAACTGGAAAAAGGTAGTAAAATAGTAAAGGTAGTAGAATAGTAAAGCTAGTAAGAATAGAAAGGTATTAAAGAAAATTAAAGTATATATATATATATATATACTTAATAGCATTTATTATTTATATTGTTCGTTCGGAAATCGGCGAGTCTGTCGCTAATCTACTCTAACTCTTGCGTAGCCTACGGCGGCTAAGTCGAAATACGCGTGTTAGATTTGGCTGGTGGGTTCTTGTCCGTAGGGAAGTACAGTACTGGCCTCCTCTTGAGTCTTAAACCTGTTCTTTTACTAGCACTTGTCTCTTCTTATACCTCAACCCGGGATTACACTACGTCGAATCGGGGTTGGAACTCTTCTCTTCGTGATGTAACTTATGTCGCTGGTCTCTGATCATGTGAAGACGAGCGGTTTAGTTGTTCTTGGGCGAACGGGAGTGTTAGTAATGGGATTAACAATAGATACTAGTTTTTATATAATAGGACTTGTATTTTATTATGGATCGGGTACTTAGTGTTATTTTTGCAATTGTAATCACTGGCCTTCTTCTAGCCTAGGGCGAATTGCCCTTTATTTATAATAATTAGTTTGGATACATACAGTAGATGTCATTTATTTAATAAAACTAATAAAACTAATATATTTAGGGAATTGATATTTCCACCCCCTTTTTTGATATTGCCACACCCCTGCAAACTCCAAACTAACCAAAACCCCAATAATTTATATTGATTTTTATTAGCAGGGGTGTGGCAATATCAAAAAAGGGTGTGGAAATATCAATTCCCTAATTTTATTAGGTTTGTTAAATAAATAGCATATATGTAATAAATTAGATCTAAACTAATCATCATAAATAAAGGCCGTGTTGGCCCATAGAGGATAACAACTCCCAAGTTCGCTTTAAAAAAAAAAAACTCTCCTTCGCTTGATTAAATAAGTCCTACTATCCAACCCACACTTTCCTTAATTATCCTCCAATATTCTACTAAGTGGCATAGTAGAGTTATCTTCGTGAATCCTGTAGATTAATCTATGATTACCATACCTCTCCCGAAGTGGTAACTGACCCTTCTCTTATTAGTAGGAAAGGCGACCTAAGCTTTAGAACATTTGCCCGCCAAATCTAACCGCCTCTTTCGATATGGTCGTTCGGTTGCTGATTAAAAATAAGATCAGTTTGGTCCCGGTGACCAAACCGTCTGTTTTCAATAGTCACATGCAAAATATTTTGATTTACTAACATGGCTCAGTCTTTTCAAAAGTCTTAGAGCATTTGATTTTCGCCAAGTTTTGACTTACCCTAGGGGTTTCAACTTTGCCGGGTTCCGCCAGAGTTTCGTCAGTTTCGCCTTTCGCCGGGTTTAGTTTCGTCTTTCGCCATTTGCCAAAAATAGTCTCGCCTGCCAACACTAGTCACCAGTTTCACCAGCAACTCTAGAGCATGGTTGAAAATCCATTTGATCCCTGAAATTTCATTGGCTGCTTATAGTAAATGTTCTACATGGTACTGATTATATTTGATTAAATTTTCCAGAAGCAAGTAGCATCGAAGAATAAAATTTCTTTAAAATTTCATTGTCTGTTTGCTATAAAAATTTATGACTTACTACTTGCAAGTCATAAATTTATATAGCAAACAGACAATATTTTAAAGAAATTTTATTCTTCGATGCTACTGCTTCTGGCAAATATATTCTTATATGATGTTATTATGATGATCGACAACCAATCAAATGGATTTTCCATCATGCTCAACTCTAGTCATAACTCAACATTTTACTAACAAAAAAAGGGATCCTTGCAAAATTTTGGTACTAACAAAAGCTCTTTTTAACCTAACTTAATAGCAAAACCCAACTTTAATCTAACAGCGAAATTTTTAGGTAGGACGGTTTCAAAAATTTGGTCTTGTTTAATCACGTCCGTACGTAAGTACTGTACATATCAATATTGTATGTACATTAGCTCTGTTAACAAATATTTCAAAGTGTTATGAATATGTCGCTATTTTGTATGTTTCATGTTTAAAACATCAAGTTGATTATTACGTGCAAAATGTTAAAATATTTAAATTATTTATTTCTAAAAAGTTATTCCTACTAAACATTACCAATAGTCTAGTTAAAACATATAAATTGTTTCTAATTATACACATTACTTTATTGGTTTGCGTATAATGGGGAGTCTTTTGCAAGAATGTATTCTTTTCCACCGATTGTGGCATTCCCTCCTTGAATACCAAACGTCGTGGAGCTGCCAAAATCTTCATCTACTCTTAAAGATGGCCAGGAAATTCCATTTGCTGTCATTTTAACATTTGATTTGTTATTTGATTGTATATAAATAATTTAAAATGACGGTACTGTTTAATTTATACATATATTTTCCAATTTTATTTACTTACTTTTTTTCAATTTGATTTCAACTTTAGTTGAAAGGAACTCATACGTAGAATTTTCAGGTTCAATGTATTGATAAAGCGGAAAAACTTCTTTAAATCTTTTATTATCGGCTGTCCTTAAGTCGATACTCATCTATAATGAAAATATAATTAAATATGTGAAAATTCTTAATTTTCATCAAATAAATCATTTATTTTTTTACCTCTTTTTCTTTAAAACTGATAGTAGAATGTTCTTTGTCGATTTTCTTACAAAATACAGACATAATGACATTTGATGGGGTTTGATACCTGTGGAACATTATGCAAAAAGAATAATTAAATCTTTTATTATAAATGAATATAAAATTAATTCATGCTGATAATATACCAGTCATGTCTGCATTGTATAAGTTCCTCCGTTTCCTATTTGATTAAAAAATTAAAAATTTGGTAAAGCATTATAATGATAAAAATATCTAATAGTAGATTACTGAACTAGAAAATTACATGCCTCCTTTTTACTAGATCCAACAAATAAATGTTTACCCTTTTTACAGCCTTTAATCTTTAAGAACTCCTCAAATTCCAATACCTTGCGCGAGCAACAACTCCAACCTAAAAATATGGTAATTTAGAAATGTCGATCCGATAAAGTATAAACCATCACAAGCTCATATTTACCTTTGCTACCTTCATGAAAGATCGGTGTACCAGGATGATAAACGCATTCTGCTTGAGGTCCTTCATTACGACTAGTCGCATCATCTACATAAGGAGTATTGCAACCGGACCTTTTACAAACTGCTCCAGGATTAACTGGAATACTAAGGTCATCCTCTTCCGGCTTCTCTTCTTTCGGAATAGGTTTAGTCTTCTGAGGAGGATCTGTTGGTTTTGGTTGTATTGGCGTATAAGTTGGACCGCTATTATATGTTTCAACTCCATTTTGATCAATTATAGGTTCAGTCGAAGGTTTAGAAGAAACTGTTTCCGATTCCTTTGAAGTTTCATTTGATTCGGGTGGAGGAGGAACCTCATTGCTGTGCCAACTAATTTAAACGTACAAGCATGTATAAATTGTTTTATTGAGACAAAAATAATATAAAATTGAATAGTTACCCTTTAGTACAGCCAGGAATTGCAAGAAATTCATCAAAAGACGTAACTCTTCGACTACAACATTGCCACCCTTTTAATCCTAATGTAACGAAATAATTTTTTTAGCGAGGATTAAATTTATCTGATCATTTTTTTTTTTGTATCGATTTAAATCGTCACAAACCTTCATGAAAAATTGGTGCGGATGGATGATAAAGACAGGCTGATTCATGATTATCCTTTTCATCATAAGTTTTTTCACAACCTTTATGAACGCAAATCGGCATTTTTGATTAATTTCAAGTTAAGGGTAAATAAAGATTTAATTATTAATGTTTCGGATTATTTATAAAAGTAGAACAACGGTATGCAGATATTATATCAATTATAGTAAATAAATTCCTTCTAGCAAATTCTGGTAACTACTAAGAAATGCTTGATTCTCTATCTGAGTTACACAATTAGAGATCAATGCATTCAACTTGCATTAATTCTCGAGTCCACCCAGGCGACCACAAAAAGGACGGTCATGTGATGATCGACAAAATAACCTAATATTTAGTAAAATTAGAATTAACGTCAAAGTTAATGTTGGAGTTAGGGTTAGAACAAATTTATTATAGTAAAAATTGCTCAAGGAATTTTTTTATTAGAACATAAAGACTGGTTTCTTATGCTTGACAAGTGAACGTTTCACATTATGTGCGGGAATGTTGGCTAATAGACTGCTGTCTTTGTTGCAATTCTTCTTGCTTGGTGCTTACATACTTTCTTCTAAAGAAATTCCTATTATATCTATTTTTCTTTTGATTTCTTGTTTTCTTCTTTTTCCTCTTTCTTTTTCTTCTATTGTTGAACCTTGTCTCGATTCTTTACTATCCATTTCTATGTCTTCTTGTTTTGCTTTTTTTATTTGTTTTTTTCTTGTTTCTATTATCTGTATTGATAATTTCTTTCTATTCAATTTATGTTTTCAAAACTTATCTCTATTCTTGCTTTTTTTATTGTTGAAAGGTTCTCATCTAGTAGTCTTCTTTTGTTCATATCTTCTTTTTCTATCTTTCTTTCAGTTTTTTGGTTTTCTTCATATATATTTTCTTACTTTTTCTTTTTCTTCATTGTTTCTTGTTGTGTTAAATTTTTTTTTCTTATTTATCTTTTCTTTCAAGCTCAATTACTATCATGTTTTTGTCTTGGTCCATGAAATCTAATTTTTTTTCTGATTGTTTTTTTTTATTTTTTCAATTAATTCTTTTATTATTTTTAATAATATAATTTCTTTTGAATTTTGCTCTATAAGTATCATAACAATCTTATTCTTTCTGTTTAACATTATGTATATTTTACTTGATTGATTGAAGAATATTTTGTTGTGTATTCTGTTTATCATTTAGTATATTCTTCTTATAAAGATTGTTGATAGATTTTTTTTATATTCTTCTAATTTCATATTATATTTATATCTATATATTTCTGATTGATTCTTTAAATTTCCTATTTACTTTGTTTTTTCTTATATACACTTTATTTATTTGTTGTATAGTCTGTTTATCTATTTTAATTTAATAATCTGTACATGTCTGTTTTTGTTTATTATTTCACATTTCTGTGCAATGTAAACAGATTTATGTACAGGGTTTAATGACAATTCCTTATTGTTGCTAGTTTTGTGAAAATTTTTTTAAGTTTTTTTTTTTTTCTTTATAACTATGTTATTAGTTTTGCAATATAGTTTTCTTTTATACTTCTTATTATTTTCTATATTGTTGCTTATTTTTATTTAATGTTATTTAAGATATTTTCTATTACTGATTTTACAGAAATTTTCTTTTTCCTTCTGGTTATTTTGTGTCTAAATGATCATTAAGAAGAGTTTTGTAATTAAAAATATTTTATTTTATTTTAATATTTATTTTATTATCTTATTTAGATTATATTATTAGAAAAATATTAAAATAAAAGGGTGTGGTGACCTAGTGAAGTGATCAGGTTATCAATTTTCTAAGTGGTAGGTTGGATGTTTAAATCCTATCAATAGTGAAAATTTGGATAATTACCTATGTAATATTTATATTACAGCAATTGTTACTAATGATTAGGTTAGAATACCTGTAATGATGGTCACATCAGCATGACTGGCAGATCATGAGGCATCTGTATAAATATGATGATACATAAAAGAATACAAACTGACAAATTAGGCAATACAAACATTAGATAAGTCCTTGTGGCCATATAAATCTGTTGAAATTGAGTAACAAGAAGTCCATTTAGGAAGACCTGAGTAGAGAAATAACTAGATCTTTAATGGCTCTACTATAAAGATTAGCTTAGAGAAACAGATACCAAGATCATAATACTCAGTCATAATACCCAGACAGACAAGACCTTTAGATTGGAAGTTTGAGAGTATCACTAATCAGGTTACCAGAATAAATTAGAAGAAAAAAATATTAGACTGATCTGATATACTGATAAACTGGTCATAGTCCTGTATAGACTATCTGAATTAGAAGTTTGGTAAAAAGGCAGATGAAAAGACAAAGATATACTAAAGTATCAGAGTTATGCTATAAAGTAGATGTTGGGATCTAAGTGAACTCTACAAAGACATAGCAGTTTAATGGTTAGTTCTAACTACAAGTATTAGTTTTGCTATAGTGATACTTAAGTCAGCTATAAAAATAAGTACAAAAGGCTCTAAAGAGTTTACCTTAAGGATAAATTAGTCCTAAGATTAAGATAATGATCTGGACATCTAGATATGACTCAGTAAGTTAATACAAGTTACAGATTCAAAGAGTTTAAATTGAAACACCAAGCAGGAGTGTTAGATATAATAATTGGTAAGAAACTTTCAGGCAGACTCCTTAAATAGATAATATAGAAAAGTTACATATAGAGCCAATTGTATTTTCTCCTGTAGTGGTTTATTGAACCATAATATTGATAAGTGATTAATAAAAATCAAAAGACCAAAGAGGTCATTTTTTAAAAAAAAAAAAAATATTAATATAAATATTAGCATTATTTATCTTATTTTTAATCTAGAAAATATGAAAGTAAAAAAAAGGTTTTTTCTATTTAAAGAAAATAAAAGGTTAGATTTTATACTAAAATTTGCTTAAAAATATGTTCAAAAATTAATTAATATCAAATTTTGAACATGTTTTAATTATCAGAGTTTACTATAACAAGAAAATTTCTGAATCTAATAAGAAAAAGGCAGATAAAAAATAAAAAGATAAGATTTATCAAGAAAATAACTATAATGATTGGGTTATCAAAGTACTAGATAAAAATTAGTGTTCTTTTAAGATATTATATAACTATTAGTATTAAACTTATCTATTTAAGTTAGTAAAGTTAAGAAAAAATAAGGCTTTGAACTTTCAATTTTGTTATTTGTTATTACTAGATTCAATCTTAAAAACTAATAATGATATTTATTGATTCTTATTATAACAACTCTATTATAGGAGATACTTTATTATAATAAAATAATTTTTTAAATTATACTATATATATTTTATATAATATTATAAAATACAAAATTTTCTTATCTAAATCACTTTACAACAAGCAAATTGTATTAATAAAAATTAAACAAATCATTATCTAATTTTTTAAAAAAAATTTGCTTAATTTTTATTAATTTATTCTATATGTTAGCAATATTTGGATATTTTATATTGGTTAAATTTAAAAGCTATATCTTTTTCTTTGATATTACATATTTTTTTTTCTTTTTTTTTCTCTTTTTTTAATAATTTATATAGATTGAAAATATTTTATGAGAGCTACTATTTCTACCATGGCAAATTGCTATTTCCACTATAGTAGATCATGTGATAACATGATCTTCTAAATGCGTCCAATTGGTATCATACTAATAATATCACGTGACCCGAATTTGTCAACAAATCTACGCGACTACGACCTGTGATGGGACTACGGGGGTTAAAAAATAGTGATACTTAATTGTCACGTTTAATAATTTATTAAGGATCAAAATTTTTTGATAGATCACAGTGTATGATATTTTAATTTTTAGCACTTCTAGTCCCATTACTAACTACGACTAATAACTATAGTTCTTCACAGTTAATTCATATGATCTACATATTGCATAAATCATATTCTCTAACCCAAACTAAATTTCGCTTCGCTTTAGCCTCCTCCCATTTTAAGACAAATTATTTTTTTGAACTGTTAATGCTAAACTTATATACATCATTTCGTAACAAAATTTTAAAAGTATCTTTGAGAATGCACTTTACTAAAATAAAATTCTTTTTTAATTTTAGACAACTTCATGTTATTGAAAAATCTAAGAGACTTGGTTGGCTTAGAAAAAGTCAAATATGCTGCCATTTATAAGCATATACGGTTTGTAAAAGAAAAATTCTTTTTCAAAACAAAGCTATTTTTCCTATAACCTTGTCTAACTTTAATATGAAAAAAGAAGTTTAGTAGTATTTTCCCTAATCCTAACTATTAAAAAGGAACCATACAATACTGTTTTACTCAATATCTCCATTTATTAGATCGTGCAAATGAACAGATAAGTTAACTTGTTTATAATA